CAAATTAATTAATGAAGAGAGTAAACTCATTTTTTGAGTTTCATAATCAACTTAAACAAATATCAATTTTCTCTAAAACTTAAGAAAATATGTTCATTGTAATTAGATATTGGCAGAACAAACTTGGTTCATTCTGAAAAATTTCATTAAATTAGAAGAATTAAATGTTTTGTGAAATTTGAATCCAACAATAATATATATCGACTAATTTTACACAAGTGTTAACAAATAAGAAACAAAAACTTAATGGAGGGGAACTCATCTCCTTTTTAGTCAATTCAAAATCCACAAAAGAAAAAAATGTGTTATATCATCTAAATTAGAATGAAAAGAAGCGGATAAAGCTAAACAAAAGATGATAGAATCTTGATTGAGAAATTATGTAATATTAACATGTTATATACATAATATATATCGATATAAAATATGAATTGTATATGCAAAAGACAAAAGTTTATATAATGAAAATATCAAAAGTTTTCTTTAAGCAACAAAATAATCCGTGGAAGATCATGTTGCCCTTGATACAAAAAGTGTGCTTTGTAATATAATCTTGTTCTTGAAGGGTACATATCTTGATGGATAAATAATTAATTGAAAAATTATATAAGCAACAATAAGTGCATTTATATATTTGTAAATTATTGAAACTTCTACTTTTTCAAATTTTACTCTTCGAACTCTTGATGAATCTCCCACCGTCATTAAACTTTCTTCTTCATTTTGATGACTTGTAGCGAATTAATTTTTGAATCTCTTTTGACGAATCTTACACCGCCTTCAAACTTTCTTCTTCATCTTGATAAACTTTTTCTTGGCAATTGTAACACAAGAAGAAATTCTAAAAAATATATCTATAATCTTCATAAAAGCTGAAAAGCAAAAAAATATATATTAACAATATGAAGTTGGAGAAAATAGAAATGGACATGCAACAACATGACACCATAGATGATTGTTATTTATAGATGAGAATTAAGTAGAAGGAAGTTGAGGAGACATATTATTTAATTAGAGAATTCAAATAGGTAGAAGTTTTTTTGTAACTTTCATGTGATATAATTATATGTAATGAATATGATTGATTTTTAAAATTTTTTAATGAATTGATTAATGAAAAAAATGAATGGAAAAACTCAAAAAAGGAAGAAAAAAGATAAATAGCTTTCTAGGCCATTGAGAGGTGCCACATCACCTTGTTTATAGAGACCTTTATTATATATATAGATTTTTGTAATTAATTAAGTAATACAACCTTTAATATAAATTAAATAATAAAGATAAAATATTAAAAAAAAATATTTTTTTCGTAATTGTAATTAGAAGAAGGACAAAAAATTATTATTTTTTTATTAATAATAGAAATTAGAGAGGTATGAATTATGAATAATTACTCCTTGTAAGTTGGCATGTGAAGAGTCTTTGTTGTAAATGTTTTTCCATTAATATAATATTTATTGTAATAAATTAAATAATTGACTTTTACAATAAAATAATTAATTTAAATAAAAAGAAAGTCCAAAAAAATGAGAAAAAAGATAAATACATATGGAAATCATAGAGAGGTGCCACATCACCTTGTCTATGTTTCTCCTTTATATTATATTAAGATTAAGATTATTACTTGATATAATTGAATAGAAAAGATTTCTTTCTTTTTCAAAAGGCTAAAGTATTAATTATCCCCTGAACTTAAAGTTTTTTATTTGGTGTACACCTAAATTATATTCCGTTTTAATTACCCTTCCAAACTTGTTTATTCCTCCATCACGTACACCTTTTTTGTCCACTTGTTCCTATTGTGACTACACGCGCGCGACAGCTGACAAAAGTGGTGATGTGGATTTCCACCTGGATAAATAATAGCCACCTAGATAAATTAATATGGCAAAAAATAACAAACCTTCTCACCTAGGCTTCTCACCTAAAACTTTAGAACTAAGCTTCTCACTAAAACTTCCGGACTAAACCCAAAAATCTTCAAGAAATTAATATTTAGTACTGGAGAACTCAGATTAAATGCCAGCACAAGACTTTTATTGTTGGGAATAAGACAAATTAATTTTGGATTAAAAAAATCGGTGGAAATTGGGGTTGTTTCTGCAAAAGTATCTTGAAGAAGATGGGTTGCAGGGGAGGGGATAGGGTGGTGCAAAATAGATTTTAAAATAGTTAAAATAATTAGGTAAAATGCTACATGTCATTTATTCATTGGATAGTTTTTCTTAAATTTAAAATTCATTGTTTAAAAGTTATTTTTGAATAAGGGCTGATTTCGCGGAACTCCTTCTGGATTTGGGTTTTTTTTAGACGTGAAGTTGGTCGATTAAATTTCAAATTTGTCTGAAATTCTTACCAAGTAAGTGTTAATCTTTGTTTCCTTTACTTTTCATTTACATTTTACCCTATTTTTCGTTTAAAATATGTCAAATATTAAAGAAAAATGGAGATTTTACGTTTTTTTACCGTTGTAGCTGTATGATGTGGCAAAAAATCACTTCCTCACGCGCTTAGTAGAGTGTGTTGTCAATTTCTACGCCAAGTGGACAATAAAGGTGTACGCGATGAAGGAATAAACAAGTTTGGAAGGGGTAATTAAAACGGAATATGGTTTAGGTGTACACCGAATAAAAAGCTTCAAGTTCGAGGGTAATGAATACTTTAGCCTTTTCAAAAAGATAACAGACTAAAGTATTAATTTTATTTTATTTTGTTTGTTTTAATGTTAATGGGTCCGAGTTTTAATTTTAAATGTGTTAAAAAGGATGGACCAGTTTAATTTTGGAGACTGTAGACCGCTAATAAGAGGCCACGTGGAAAAAAATGGTTATTGCAAGATCATTTATATTTTCTGTTAAAAAATAATGTCATAAATAGACGATGAGCCCAATTTTTATGATAACATAAATAAGTCTTTGTTCAAAATTTGATATTATATTTAAGGTTGTTTCCTCTTGTTTTTGGGAAAATGCATAAGTACCCCCCCAGCTTATGCCCGAAATCTCAGAGACACACCTAACCTTTACTAAGGTCCTATTACCCCCCGAACTTAATTTATCTATAATATTCTACCCCTTTTCGGCCTACGTGACACTATCCTCGAAGAAAATGTCAACATGCGCTGGGCCCACAAGACAGTGCCACGTAGGCCAAAAAGGGGTAAAATATTACATATAAAATAAGTTCGGGGGGTAATAGGATCTTAGTAAATGTTAGGTGTATCTCTGGGATTTCGGGTATAGGCTGGGGGGGTACTTATGCATTTTCCCTTTTTTTTTAATGTTGATTAATTATTTACAACTGATCAAAAGAAAAACCAAGAATCTTGAAATTGATTTGGGTGTCCAAAGACTTAAATTTTAACACAAAAGCTTCATGTAACATAAATGCACAATATGGTCAACAAATAAAATAGTACTCCCTCTGTTCCCTCTGTTTTAATTTATGTGGTACTTTTCGTATTTCGAGAGTCAAATAGTTTAAGTTTGATCGGGAATTTGCGCATGGTATCTTCAAAAATTTTGAAATGAAATTTATATATTTGTAAACTATGTAAAAAGTACTATAAGCCACAATAATTGATAATTCAAAATGTTTAAAAGATCTATGAAAAACTTACGATCAAAGATAGACTTGTTTGAATCTCGAAATCCGAAAAGTGTCACATAAAATTTAACGAAGGGAGTAATAATGAGCAACTTTCACATATAGCAAACATAAAAATCATATTTGTATGTTATAGCTATAGTTTGCATAATTGCGCTCCATAGCAAACATAAATATGTATATTTCGCTATACATATACAAAAGAAAGCAATTGTATAAGAGCAACTTTTCACATATAGCAAACATAAAAATCATATTTGTATGATATAGTTATAGTTTGCATAATTGCGCTCCATAGCAAACATAAATATGTATATTTCGCTATACATATACAAAGAAAGCAATTGTATAATCTGTTTCGGTATACATATACAAAAGATCAATTGTATAATCAGTGTTTGTATAAAGCGAGAAAGAGAAAAAGACAAAAAGAAAACTGGGTAGGGGAAGATCATATTTGTATAAACATAAGTGTATATGACGAAAATATATGCATTTGTATTTGTATATATAATTTTCTCTCGCTTTATACGAACACAAACACAATGTATACATTTGTGTTTGTACAGTGAGAGTGGCGAGCGAAATCTGGGAGAGGGGAGAGAGGGAAACGAAAATATATGTATATATACAATTTTCTATCGCTTTATACAAACACAAATGCATTTTATACATTTGTGTTTGTATAAAAGCTAGAGAGGCGAGGGAGACTGCCCAGCGAGAACGAGAGTGGCGAGCGAGATTCACCAGGAGAGAGGCGAAATAACAACAGTTTTCTATGAGGTACAATTAAATCAAATTATGGTTATAATATTTAATTTGAATTAATAGTTTGCTATTATGTACAATTTTTTCAATATATTAGTTCAAATACAAGCTCTTGCATGTCATGATGACATGATTGGTTATATTATAAAGCCATATGAGGTTTAGTGGACCCCAAAGGTAAGAGGATTTGATAGGAATATCCATTATTTTGTGTTAGTATTTAATTTATTTTATGTTCATGGTAACGAATAATTTTTTTCGCAATATCATAATATTCTAGAAGTTATGTTCAAATATGACTTCAGTTTCTACAAAATGAATTACCCCTTAGACACTATAATTTTACTATATCGCATTTTGAATATAATAAATTCAATGTTATGGAAATATAGTGGAAAATGAATAGTACTTAATGATTGTAAAAATTGATATAAAATAGTAAATTATTTCTTGATTTTTCAAATTGGATAAGTAAAAATGGACATCTATTTTAATTTAAGTATAGTGAACAAGTAAAAATAGACGGCAAGAGTAATATTTCTCTATATAGTTCAGTTAATACAATATCATTTTATTGCTATACAATCTAAATTTACACTAAGGTTGATATAGAAAGAACAATAAAGAAACTTTAAATCACAGATTTTCAATAAAAAGAACAGTTCAAATTCTTCAAGATATACATAAAAACAAAGTATTCAGTGTCTATGTTCCTCGGACTTTTCAAAAATACCCCCAAGTGTATGTCAGGTCATCCAAAAATAGTGTATTTTTTGAGGAACCGACACAGCTGATGCAACATGTTGAAGAGTCCGAGCAACATAGTTCAGTATCATTCTGAGATGCATGTTGAAGCACTTTTAGTTAGATTTCTGAGCCAGCAAACTTTCCAAATATTTCTCCACATAATCTAGGCCACACTGTGTCTTCACAACGGGTAATATGGCGGGGACGTCCAGATAGAATTCTGAAACAGACCCATCAAGCTTGCCCCATAGTTTGAGCTGTTCACGTGCTGCTTTAACGGCTGCTCTTGCTGCACAGTGGACTGAAGCTGCCAGAAGCAACGGCGGTTCACCAGATGCTGCAAAAAGAGTTATCAAGTTAAGATTCAACGGTTTGTATGAATAAAGGCAAATTCAGAATTTGATGATGTAATTCACAGTTATAAGCGAAAAAGCAAAGAACTTGTTTGGCAGAAGGGGTGGGAAAACAAATGAAAACAGAATAATACCTTTAGACGAGAGAACACGTTTTTCGTGATGTCCACTGTTTACCACATGAACATTGAAATTCTGAGGTATGGTGTCAATAGTTGGGATCTTGTATGTCCAAGTGCTATTCGAGACCATTAACCCGTCTTTGTTTGTAAGATATTCTTCGTGCATGAAAAATCCGATTCCATGTACAAAAGCCCCTTCAATCTGCAGCAAAGGAAAAGAAAAGCAATCTCACATTTATGAACAATATGGAAGAACAGATCATATGCATGATGTATTTCTCAATCTATAAGCAAATTCTAGTTACAAAATTTAAAATCTACGACGAAGGGAAGAACCTGTCCCAAATCAACGGCTGGATTCAAGCTCTGCCCGCAGTCGTAAATGATATCCGACTGCAAAATGGCAGTCTCTCCAGTCAGAATATTAATCTCCACCTGCATAAAAGCTTTATTATTAATGAAGGTGCTGCAGAACATATATTGGCTGCAAAACACTCCCTCCGTTTCAATTTCTGTCTTACTTTCCTTTTTAGTCCGTTTGAAAACAAATGACTCTTTCCTTTCTATTCAGCTCTTTTGTTTCAATTTTCCACATGACATGTTTAAGACCACAATATTCAAAAGTTCTTTACTTTTGTGTCAAGTTGAATCAGACAAACAAATTGAAACGGAGGGAGTATTCCACGATCAGAGATCCCTGCCGAGTATTGTCACTCATATATATTGAAAATTGATAAGCCATGAAGCAGACTGAAGCGGGGAACGTTACCGAAAGGGAACCAGAAGAACAGACAGAAACAACAAGTTACCTCACTGACAGCAGCGCCAAAGTTCAAATAACTCATGGAACCGGATTCTGGTACATAATAGGAATTTGCTGCTAAGCTTACTGATTGCGCTTGTGCCTGCAAAATAAGGGGCAAGTGGGAGACAACTGCAAACTAAGATATTTAACAAACTATGGCTAATTGTTTTACAAGAATAAATTGTTCCTGAACTACACGCATACGATTAGTTCACTTATCGTTCCAAACAATATACAAGCAATTAGTTACTTTTAAGTGAATTACTTTGTCATGGTCTTCATATTGAATTCAAGACTAAATTTTTTTATTGTGAGTGACCCCATGACTTCCAGAGTTGAAATGTCGGAAAAAATGAGAAGGTGGTTACACATGTTAGTATGATCAACAGATCATAGAATATTTTGTATGATCTACTTTAAGATATTCTCAATATGGTAAATATACAAGAGATATTCTAGATACAACATTTGGTTTAGAATATATGTAGGATATATTTAAGAAGTGTAGAATATTGTATAGCTTTAGTTGTAGAACATTATGCACACAATTTGTAGTATTTACATTAAGTTTAGAATATTTCTCGTGTATAAATACCAATGTATTCTTATGTTTCTCTAGTTTTTTCTCTGTTTATTACAATATAGTAGGAAAACAAACCTGGCGAATCAGCATTGGCCAATCAACAGAGCCATTTTGTTCCTGCAGCTGTTTCTTCAAAGGGGTCAGTCTTTCAACCAATGTATCACAGCAAAGTCTAACAGCTTCACAGCTTGTTTCCGATGTAGTGCTTCCAGCTGTAAACCCGGCCTGCACTAAGCTCAAGGTGTCTGCTTGTATGACTCGAACTTTCTCCATGAGGTCTTCGGCCCAACTACTATCAATTAAGCCAAGTGCATAGGCAGTCATCTGTTTAACCTTTGTCCATAGCCCTTGGCCAATTTCAATCCCTCCTACCTCTACTACGATCGATCCATCTTGCAGAATACTGACTTTTCCTGAGGTTGGTCGTTGCATAACTTCATACACAATTGGAACTCGAGAAATACCCCTTTTCTTCCATGTGTTATTCTGGTTGAATTGTTCTATCATCTTGCTTCGTTGGAAAAAGCTCGACGACACTGCCAACTTATCCATGATACTAGGCAATGTATATTCTCCTACTGCTACAATGTTATTATAGAATAAATTAAGGCTTTCAAATGTATGGAAATTTTTGTTTCTGACTGAGTCCACCTCCATCGAGAGTAAACTTGCTACGTGCTCGATTATAGCTTCAGCTATATAAGATCCTTGCACCTCCCCAGGGGCCCGCATAGCTGATTTGCTGGTAAGATTTGTCTTGCACAGTTTAACATTGAAAGATAAGGCACCCCAATCATATTTTTTTAGTGCTTTAATCACATTTGATGGTAAGAGTGGGCTTATATCTTCTGTGATCCCGGCATTCATCAATATATCAAGATGTAATGCTGTGATCTTTCCGCTCGATTTGAATCCTACACTGTATGTTACTTTCATCGGATGTCGTCCTCCTGTCATTATCATGTCACTGTTCCGGTTGACGCATATCCTGACTGGTCGTCTTAACTTGTATGCTGCTAGTGCACAGGCTGTGGAAACCTAAAATCATGCATCAACTTTAACATCAGATTCAGAGAATTGTTATTATTACTATCTCTGTAAGAAATACTCACAGGCATTGATCTAACTCCCTTGCCCCCAAAGCCACCTCCAACCCTTCTTGTAATTACACGGATATTGTGTTCGGGAACACCAAGACAACTGGCAATAACATGTTGCATGTTCTCAGGGCACTGACTTGAAGTATAAACAACCATGCAGTTGTCTTCATCTGGAATTGCAAGGGCAGTCTGTGTCTCCATATAAAAATAGTACTCCGAACCGAGTCTTATCTGGAAATGATTATGAAAAGAGCCAATCAGTAACGTACTTGAACCTTTAGCAAACATCACCATCCGGGAAACCATTCAAATGAATGGAGCAGTAGAGAAATTGTAAGTACCTCAGCAGAGAGAATCTTATGATCTGCTTCAGACATTCCTTTTGAGAAATCACCAACTTGTTTTGGATTCATATATGGCGGGATTTGGAAAAAGCTAGATTTCTCAACAGCTTCCTCAACGGTTAAAATGGGAGAATATATATTTTCAGTGTCATATTCAACGAGGGCTGTTCTTGCAGCCACATCAGCAGACCTCTGACTGTCAGCAATCTATAATGTTTCAACAACATAAAGAAATTGTTCAAAATAGCTTTGGATTAAAAATGCATGAGAAATTAATGTTTCATAAACCTAATACAGCAGGCGGAAACTTGAAGTGCTCACCACAAGAGCAATTCTGTCACCAGCGCATCGGGCGAGATCATCTGCAAATAAGGGCTCGGGATCAGACATTGTAATAACTCCTACATTTTCCCCTCCACTTGGAATATCTTTAAAAGTAATAATGGTGGTGACTCCATCTGTTGATCGATTTGACTCAAGCTGGATTCCCTTTACACCTGCTAATGGTTTTGTACTATAGATAAATGCTCCATGCAGGCAATTTGGTGGTGAAGGAATGTCATCTACATAAACAGCTTCACCTGAAAAATAGTATATAAGCGAACACATTTGAAGTTTGGCTTATGTTCATCTGCCATCAGGTGAAGTGAAACAGAGATAATAAGAAGATGTTAGAAAATGAACAATAGAGAATGTAACTAGAAAGTTAATTATTGTGATACTCCTGATGCAAAAATTAATGGCTGATTCCACAACTCGAAGTAGTGACCTATAGGTCACATCACACATGCAAACAATTTTATCATTGCTTCAATCCCCCCTTCGCTTAACATGCATAAGATGAAATAAACTATATAAATGAGAGAACAAACCAGAAGCTTGCATGGCAGCTCCAACCTTCTTCATCGGTTCACCTACTGGATAGTACTCGGTGCTTAATTCCACGACTTGCTTTGCAGAAGACAGTAGTGTTTGTTCTCTCCCCTGACTAATGCAACCATCATTACAACTTTTGGAAAGTTGCTCAACAGAGATGTCACTAATTCCATTGAGTAAACCACCAGAAATAGCAGAATGAACATCAGTGAAGGGATGAAGAAACTCGTAAACATAACTGACAGCCAAGCTTGATCTGTACTCGGGGTGTAAAGTGCCATCTTCCGGTACCACTTCTACTTTGACTAATTTAAGTGCTTCATATAAAACATGTATATTTAATATCTTCCTGGTTAGATATTCCTCTACCTTTTTAGCCCTTGTTGCATGTTTTGTGCCATAAGCACCAAACGCCAACTGTATATTGTTTATCAAGAGGCCCTTCTGGCAGAGAGAAACATCAGCCTGGAAAGCGGCATTTATATATGCCAATGCACTCCCATGAGGTCGTGGAGCAGTTCGAAAGGTTTCAAACAAAACTTTAGAATGAATTTGTAAAGAACTTTGATCTTGCTTAAATGGGATACAAACACTTAGAAGCACAGTCCTTGAGTCTAGCGGTGGTCTTGATAATAACTCCTCCCATGTGAGCTTTTCAACTCCATGACTGGTCATTAAGCTAACAGTAGCACAAAGTCCAAGAAATAATGTAGCAATATCTGAAGGAAAACCATTCTTCTGTGCCATAACCAAATTTCCTCCCACACTAGCTGAGTTTCTAACAAATGGTGAAGCAATCTTCTCCATGTGGTTAGCTAGTTTTTGGGACACCAACGTCCCGTATGAACCCAAATTGACTTTGTTTTCCTCTTTCAAGAATGAAATCAGTTTAGAGATAGTCACAGCTGCTCCAACTTCAATGCCAGTCTGATCTCTTTTGATGATTGAGGGTTCAGGAATGTACCTGAGATCAATGTAATGATCATATCGCTGAGTTTCCTTATAATAACCTGTGCCGGTATTTCCAACGATAAGTTTGAAGCTTGCACCATTTTCCGTCACATTGGAGTTCAACAAGCTCCGTAGCTCCTCAATGGAAACAGGACTGTACCAAGGGTACCTCCTTGAGGATTCCGAATTCGTGGCAGATTCACTTTTCAAGAACTCGGGATACGTACTGAAATTCTTGGTTGGATCATAGGGAGGTAACTTACTTACTTTCACTTCCTTGGAATCTCCTTTTTTCCAAAAAGAATTGAACCCCAAATCCTCGATATCAACGTCAGAAGCAAAACTCTTGCAGGCATCAGCAATAGGCCGGTATCCAGTGCATCGACAAAGGTTCCCTGCTATGGCCTTTACAGCTTCAGATGAAGTAAGCTTAGAGAATCCTGGTGGAGGATCGGGTTTGTTTCCTTTATCGGCATTGACGAGAGCTGAAAAAAATGACATACACATGCCAGGAGTGCAGAAGCCGCATTGAGAAGCATGGAAACCGGCAAACCTTTCATGAATAGAGTGAAAACCATCTCTGGTGTTCCCAAGGCCTTCACTTGTCGTAATTGAACAACCATTTAAACTGCAAAGAAGTATAAGGCATGAACTCACGCTAAAATCTTCGACCTTTTTCAGATTGGGATCATACTTCGACACCAGAACAACACAAGCCCCACAACCACCTGTAACAATACAAATAAGTTATGTTCTTTCTGAAGCCAAAATATAGAATTTGTTACAAATACAATAAATCAGATGAAGAGATGATACCTCTCTAAAAGACTTGTGAAGAAAAAAGGACTTCCATGTAATCTAAAGTCAGCAAAGGAATGAAACATCTCATTTAACATGTAATCTATGTTGAAAATCCATGGAAGTTGGTCATTTTATTTCATTGTACAGGAAAAGTAGTTCTTTATAGGGAAACTGCACAAGATAGCTGAGTATGTAAATCAGTTACACATGGTGATACTTAAATTCCTTTTTGTGAACTCTTAATATTCAGATTTATTGAAACAAAAAGATGTATAGTTTGGAGAACCCATTGTTTTAACTTCCAATTAACCAGAAGATAAAAAGGAAAAGGAATTACATAAAGTAGTTCACTATGAAACTAAAAACTCCATTTTAAGAGAAACCAATTCATGTAAATGACTGATTTCATTGCCTAAAAACCTTCAAGCATCTGGAATCCAATGGCCTGATTAGTCCACTATAGCCTTCTGTACTTAACTCAAGACACAAACTCAAGACCTCCAGGTAAGAGTGAAAGAATCTTTACCGTCCCACCACACCCTTAGATTGTCACAAAACACTTGAGAGTACAGAATTTAAGCACAGAAGCCAAAAAACCTCCAAAAAGAGTTCCTAATATGCTATCCACTGGTAAACAAGAAAAGTACAGCAGAAGTCGTCAATTTCCATGAAAAGCACAGAATCAAAGCAAAATGAGATTTACATAAGAACACCAATTTAAGTAAATCCACAGCTTTTAACATTCCTTATGTATCAGCAGTTAAACACTTTGTTGCTCAGACACTCCAAAAATGTTATCGCACTGTGTCAGATCCTCAAAAAATGCTCTAATTTTTCAAGTATCTGCACACACCTATCACCAGTTTTGTAGAGTCCGAGCAACATAGCCAAAACAAACATATAGTGTACACTAGGTGGATTAAGAACCATGAAATCTCAGGTTCAAATCATCAAAGGCAAAAACACAACATGATTTCTTTCTATCTGTCCAAACCTTGCTTGATAGAGTTACCCAATAAGTAGGTATCTGCATAATTAGCCGAAGTGCGAGCAAGCTGATCCGGACCGCAGACAGCACATTTATCAAAAAAACATTTACTGTAGTATGAATGGTAAAAAAAAAATAGTAGAATTACCTTCTCCACAACCAAGCTTGGGACTCTTGAAACAAGTCTCAGAGCGCAAGAACTGAAGCAGAGTTGTAGAAGGATCAACACATGGCAACTCAAACCTCTCTCCATTAACTGCCAAAACCAAACTCACATTCTTTTGTCTTTCTTCCATTAATGTAATAGCAGTTGACTTCACACAGACCCTATATCAAAAATCTTGTCTTTTTCTACTTTTTAAACTGAAAGTTACCAGAAGTGAAAGAAGAAACAAGGATCTTGAATTCAAAAACTTACTTTTAAACACAAAAACTTATACAATAATCAAGATAATTGGCTATTAACTTGACACAGACCCTTTTGTCAAAATCTTGTTTTTCTCTACTTTCTGTGCCAAAAACATCACAACTGAAAGAAAAAGCAAGAATCTTGAATTGAATTGGATTTCCAAATACTTACTTTAACTTGACACACACCCTTTATCAAAAATCTCATCTTTTTTTTTTCCTTCCTATTCTTGGTAACTCGAACCCATAATCTTAGAACCCACAACACTGTTATCTATTAAAATCTTATCTTTTCCTACTTCCTAAGCTGAAAACATCAGAACTCAAAGAAAGAAAACATGAATCTTGAATAGGGTGTTCAAATATTGAGTTTTTAACACAAAAGCTTTTCAAATCAAGATTATTGGCTAGCTGAAACACTAAAGCAGTTAACTTTGACACATAACCTTCATCAAAAATCTTGTCTTTTTCAACTTTTTGAGCTGAAAAAATAATAGAAACTGAAAGAAAAACCAACAATCTTGGAATTGTATTGGGGTATCCCCAAATAACTAAACTTTTATTATCTCAAAATAGTCAACAAACAATACGATAATAATACTACATAACATTCAACATTTTCTTGCATATCTTAACATGATTGGTTAAATTATAGCCTTAAATTATTAAGTTATATGAGATTTCATGGTGCCCCATTGGCCCATACTATATATGACACATTGTGTGGTGCCACAAAATATACTTTTTTTTGTTTTGTGTGTGTGGACTTGTTCAAGAAATATATATTGAGGACAGAATGTCTTCAGTTTTATTTGTCTCACCTTTTTTTGTCTTCCATCCATTATAGTAATAGCAGTTGACTTCACACAAACCCTTTATCAAAAATCTTGTCTTTTTTCTACTTTCTAAGCTGGAAGTTACCAGAACTGAAAGAAAGAAACAAGAATTACTTTCTATGTCCTCAGTAAGCTGCAAGTATATCACGTTCTATCTAACCATCTCTCTCGAAAAACTTCTTCTGTCTTCCTCTACCTCTCTCTCACACCTCCTTATTGGAAAATTTGTGCATGTTCTCTTCACATATCTGAATCATCTCATATCAACCCCATCTTATCTGCCACGAAGTCACATTCAATTTCCACCTTCCCCGAATAGCTTTATTGTTAATATCACTACTAATATGTCCACACATCCATGTTAATGTACTTTTTGTACATATTCAAATATGATTTTCTAAATAATAGTTTATGGATAATGGATCGGACAGTCACTTCAATAATAAAATAGTGACGATTATTTAATGTCATAAATTATTTTAATCTACATAATTTATCTATATGCATACTTTAGGGAGACATAAATTATAAATAAAGAAACTAAGAAGATGGGAAGAGACAACTAACTTCAATTTTAAAATTGAAAATTATTAGCAGCTAAATTTTTATCTTGTTGGGAGTGTACTATTTGAACAAATTATCAGAGATGTCCAATTTGACGTTTTTCTTTAATAAACTTTACGCGTTATAAATTTAAGGGAAAAAGGACAAATATAGCCCCGAACTTTGATAAATGGTACGTCTATACCCTCCGTTATACTTTTCGTCCGTCTCAACCCTTGCCGTCCAATAATCGGTGCACATTTGCCCCTCCCACTAACGGCACCCTCTTTGTGTACACGTGGCGAAAACCTAAGCCACTACCCGATTGACCAATTCTTTTAATCCAAATTTGAAGAACCCACCCCATAACCCAATAAATCACCCGATTTATGGGTAAAATACCCTAAAATCTAAAGAAAAGACTCAAATCCTAAATCATTTTCGTTCATCTCACAAACCCTAACCTAGTTCATCAGATTTTAGAGAGTTCATCGGTGCAATTGTTGCCTCAAATGCCGGCGATTTCTTAGAAACACACATCAGTGTATCATTTTGTCCAGCCTCGTCCTTAAATGCAGTCAAAGGGTTAGAGGATTCATAAGCTAAAGTTGGATGTCTGCTGCTGCTGCTTGTGGTGCCCAGATGTGAAAGTTGATGCCTGTTTTTGTTGCTTTTGTTAGTGAAGATGTTAATGAATTGGAGTCTTTTTCGGCAAATTTTACTAATTATTGAGTTTAATTTTCCTAATTATTGAGTGTAAATTTTACAAATTTTTGAGTTTAAAATCTAAAGAAAAGACCCAAATTTTAAATTTTAGAAGGTATATTTTACCCACAAATTGGGTGGGTTTATTGGGTTATGGGGCAGGTTCTTAGAATTTGGGTTAAAAAAGTTGGTCAACCGGGTAGTGGCTTAGGATTTCGCCACGTGTACACAAAGAGGGTGTCGTTAGTGGGAGGGGCAAATGTGCACCGATTATTGGACGGCAAGGATTGAGACGGACGAAAAGTATAACAGAGGGTATAGACGTACCATTTATCAAAGTTCGGGGGTATATTTGTCCTTTTTCCCTAAATTTAAATTAGTTAAAGACTACGCATAAACCGATGGTTTTTTTAAAATTAAATGGTATATATAACTTAAATTCTATTACTATGTTTAATCAATAACTTTGAGTATGCTTGTGTAAATGTTCAATTTCTAACCGTTTAAAGGGGGCCCTGGCGTAGCTGAAAAGGACGTTATTATGTGTCCAATAGATCCTTGTGATCTTGTCTTTCATTGAATCCATGCATGCAAAAGCATAGTGCACCAAATTACCTTTTTTTTATGAGCAAAATCCCAAACTAAGGGAGTTAATAAGTAATTTAAGCTTACAATATTAAAATTATGAAAAAGGGAGAAAAATACATTCTTAATTTTGCAATTCTTTTTGAGAAAAAATGATTAATTTAAGTTTATGTAAGTTCTGAAATATATCTCATTAAATTTAATCACTTCGACTTCAAGTAGACAAAAAGTTAACTCTGACATAATTACGCCTCAATTTCAACCAAGTCGTGCGGACAAAAAATTAGCCTAAATCCAGTGTCAAAATTTTCTAGTCAACAACAATATACTTCGTATAATTCCACAAATGAAATCTGAAAAAGGTAATTTGTACGCAGATCTTACCTCAATATTTACGAGGTAGAGAGGTTGCAAACCAAATACAACAGAAACCACTTGCCATGCTCATAACAAATAGAGAACCACAAGAAATTACATTTACATTTCACCTGAGTTATCAACAAATGCTAAAATTCACTTGTTCTATATTATACAACATATAAATATGTATAACATACCAAACTAACGAAAAGCATAAAGAATCACCTCATTGAAACCTAAATGACATATCCTATAATGTTACAACCAAAAAGTTGCAAGTCTATATGAGCAAGATAGGAAAGCCTGATATCCACCTGAAGTAGATGACCACTTCTGATCCTAAATAGACATGCACGACGTTTAATGTATATTGCTGTGCTCGTGGGGCTTGAGTGAACCTTTGAACAAAATGTGCCTGATGAAATGTCAAGATCGATGCTATTGCTCGTGGAAATCTGACCCTGTGATCATAACCAAGGTCCATCCTGAAACAAAATAATCTCCTTCTGCTTACAGTATCCTCCTTGATGGGTGGTTTTAGACTAGAAAGACCTGGTGTCCCATTTGTTTACCAATAACTTCTGAATAATGGTCGTTATAATTCAGACGCTCCCAGAAACTTGACAGGCCGAATTCTCCATGTTTGGGTGACTTAAGATAACATAGATACAACTCTTTGATGTTCTTCGAAAATGATTTCCTCATGTTAAGCACCTGCAAACATCAGATATTTATTTTGTACTTGGTTCCTTATCTTCACTCTCTCGGAAGAGGTAAAATACAACTTTTTCCACAGTAACTTGATTTATTTCCATATATGGCATTCCCCCAAAACAAAATAATCAAGATGCATGCAAGGTACGAGAACAGTTGCTGAAATTTGTACATACAATTTACTGTTTGAAAGAACTTGTATTAGATGTCCATTTAGAAGAAATGTAAATGATTGGGAATGAGAAAGAGTATGTGAAATCTATAAGTTTTTGGGAAGTTGTCAGGGTTACACATCTATACTTTGATAGAGCGGTAGTAGATCCACTATTTTAGAACAAATATGAATCATTGGAAATGCCAGAGTATGGTTGATTGGTTTTTGGAAAGTTCTCGACATTGCACATCTACTGATGGAAAGTAGGTTTGCTTAACTATTGATAATCTCCAAACAAGAGGGCTACATTTATGTAGCAGAAGTTACTTATGCAGCATCCACGCAGAAGCCATCAATCATCTTGTTTTTGCATTGTCCTATTACCGACAAGCTATGACAGCTATTTCTCAATTTCGCTGGAGTCAAATGGTCTATGCCTAGGAATACACGAGATCTTTTGCATTGTTGGTATAGGCAGGGGCTGGGCAAAGCCAGAAATTGCTGGTGGTACACGATTCCATCATGTATCTAGTGGGTGATTTGGAGAGCCAGGAACTCCAGAGGTTTAAAAGAGAAGCAAAAATCAGTCGAAGATTAAGTTAGACTGTAGCTTGTTATTTCACTTTTGGTCTCAAAAGGAATATGCAAAAGAGGCAGAAACTTTACTAGATTTCATTTTGTCCCTAAGATTAGCGAAGGGCTAATTGTTTTGGCTTTTTCCCCTCACTTGTATAGGATCTCCAGCACTACCTTTGTGTTGTTTATGAATACAACTATTACCTGAGAAATGTCTCCTTTCAGACAAGATCGAAAATCCACCGCAGATTGCAAGATACTTCGTATAATGCTGGCAATATGTTGAGTTTCCTCTGACAAGAAACATCTGCAAAGGTTTATATTGAAAATAATCATAAATACATCAGACAGAACAATTTTAATTATCACTGACAAAGCTGAAAAGTGAAGTTAGGGACTTGTGTCTAGAATAGGTCAAGGTCACGAGCAAACCATTCTTAACTCTTTAAGTCAATTCTATGACAAGTGGAAAACCTTCAATTAATGGG